AGTCGTGCTAGCCGTGCTGCCGTGCAATGAGCGGTTATAAGGCCCATTTGCAGGTGCTAATCAGAGGACATCAAATTGAGTCTCGGGATTTTCGGACCTTTTTTCTTTCTTGGAAGGATAGTCTTTCTGAGTATGGTGAAAGCGTGGAGTCTGCCCGATTGATTTGGTATTCTGTAAAAAGCAACGATACCGTCTTCCTGTGATGGTTCTTGTGGCTTATTCGCCTTGAAGTCCAGATGAACAGCGCTCTGGAAGCTCCTTAGTAAAGAGCAAGCCTTTCCCTTCTTCACTTACCGTCGCTGGCTTTTGGCCCTAATTCGACTTCAATTGAGAAAATCAGCGATCTCTCTAGCACACCGCGGCCAGAGCATTGTGCGTTGTAGTGAGATTTAACCACGAGGTGTCCTGCCTTATATATGCTCAGGTGAGCGTGGCTTGCTCGTGAGTGCCAATTGCGTTAGGGAGCTGGGTGTAATATAAAACCAGGCATTGCCTTCGTCTATGGAGTCGGCAACAGCAATCGCATCTGAAGAAGAAATCTCGTTAATCGCGGTCTGCTGGGTACTTGTAAAGTGAGTAGTGACCACGAGCCGGCAAGTCTCTGCCCTGGGTACATGATACTATGCTCTGAGGGTGCCGTTCGGACTCGCCGGTCAGTACCCGTCTTGTCTCCAGCGTATTTATCAGTGCATACCTAATGGCTCTCATAACAGATTCTCACATATAACGTATTCCAATCTGTATTTGTCACTCATCATCCCCAGAAATTTTGTTCCTAAAACACAAAGATGTTCAAACCAGACTCGCATCTCCGCTTCCTTCTTTTCAAGAAAGTAACCCCCAGCATAGTTCAACAGTATTTTATACGCGTTTAAAACACCATCATACTAATGGAAATGTGATAGTGGTCTATCATGTTTCTCATCCTTTTCTATTTATCGTCGATAAAGACCACATCTGAAAGATTGTAGAGGAGTCTCAGCCTTTCTCGGATTAGGACACAGGCGCTTTTCATGAAACAATCTGCTATACACTGCTTCATATATATCATTTTCTTTCTATTGTGTATCACCGTCATGCTCTTCAGCGTGTTCTTCTCCAAACCTTCTTCAAGCGGTAGTCTAATCTGATGGACATGAGCTCGGATCTTGGTCCCGACTTGCGCCTTGTGTACAGGCCCCCTCATCGAAGGTAGAGAGAATGGCGTTGACGCCGGGGCATAATCTGCTTGCTGTCAGATCTTATGCAGCTAATATCCATGCGCTTCTCAAACTCAATCGAGATTTCTAATTTTCTACCTTAGTAAAATCCAGTCGCCTGTTTGACAACGTAGCCCGAGCATCTTTAGGGACTCTTCTAGAAGGAGTATATATTGGAAAGCTATTTGCCAGGAACATCGTGTTTTTTGCAACTAATTTGGCTTTTCAAAACATTAGCAGCTTGCTTCACTACTGTAATTGTTTCTGATGGAGTACGTGTCCTCAGGAGACCTGTCACCGTCACGAGCCTTAGGCTTGTGGTGTGTCGTTCGTTCATTCTAATGAATGGAGAACAGGAATGATGGCTGGGGACGCTGCATAAGAACTGTTGAGGATAGCACTCGGAGGTCCTTCATCGTTATCTGTTATCTGTTCATGTGCTCTACGTAGCTTTACCTAGTTTAAACCCAAATGCAGTTTAGGTAAGGAGGCTTGGTCGCCGCATGAGATTCGTTAACCCGATTCGTCATGGGTCACAAAAGCATCATAGCAAGTGCCTTGACGCTTCAAATGGTTGACATTCACAGCGATATGCCAACAGACACGGGTAAAACACAGCAAAAAGCAATACGTGGACAATCTATGAATCGAACATAGGACCTACCCCATGCGAAGGGGTTGTTATACCACTAAACCAGTCGCCCATTTGATGAAAGAACATGCTTTGATCGCGTTTAAATGCACAGGAATGTTCCGGAATGGGCATTCGGGGAGGTCTGGTCCTGTCGGAAGTCGAGAACGGAGTTGTGGCGTTCTCAGGGAGCACGTTAGCAAAAACGCCCGTCACGAGGGGCAAAAGAATGGACAATCTAGGAATCGAACCTAGGACCTATCCCATGCGAAGGGATCGTTATACCACTAAACCAATCGCCCGCTTGTTGTTGGAAAAAGGGGATGCTTTGAAATTATGGCGGAAAGATCGTGAGGTGTGAGCAAATGGGGATTGGTTGCTTGGAGCTGAGGTGAGACATGGCGTTGTGGTGTAGGACGACATGGACGGATGAGGTTTGGATTTAAAGTCAGGTGTGAGAACTGAGGTTAGCAAAGCATTCCGGTGTGAGAGATAGTTGCAACCGCTCTGGAGAGGTTGCCTTTAATTGTAGGATGGCTTTGTTTCTGGATTGGAGGTTTGCTTTGCAGTCGGATAGAGTCTACAAGGACTGCAACTTGTCGAAATGACAGCTATATCAGTGATGGAATAGCTTTCCATTCTGCTGAGTAGATCTTCGACGTGAATGACAGAATTCAGGTTTGCGTCTCCCCTTGTACCTTCCTTAGGGTCCACCGAGGAGGAAATAGGTCTTCGTTAGTCACTATGTCACTTTTTGGCACCTCGTTCTGACACATATGACTTTTCGATTGAAGGAAAACATCGGGAAAACTTCGTAACAGACATGAATGAGTAAATCCATTTCTCTTAACCATTTGGTCTCTCGGTTGACCGCGATCTGGTTAACATCCTGATTTCAGCCATCAACCGACCCCATGTGGCTCACAGAGGCTTTCTTCCGTGGATGGACCAACTGCCCGAGTTAGCAACAAGGTTTCCCTCAAGAAACAATACCACTTACATGTTGTAGTAAGCGTGGATGCCCTTGTCTCCAAGTTCCTTGCAGACCTCCGCAGCAAGAGCGACAACGTCCTCTTTCGTCCAGCCGAGGGCTCGTGTCAGGGGAGCCATGATAAACCCGTCAAAGTTGGGCGCAATATTCTCATAGTTCCAGGCACCAATCTCCTTATGCTTCCGATCTTTAGGCCAGCTATTAGCCGGCCACTTAAAGCGATGAACCTGCACGTCGGCGAACCCGACCTCCTTCAGGACCCCTTCAAGACGACCAAACTCCTGGAAAGGCGATCCGAAGATGACCATCGCCTTCAGGCAGAGGTCTGCGCACTTCAAAATCGCGCTGTCTTGAGTCAAGGTCCCGTCGTCTGAGACGGGTACGGCATCAATGTCGTTGAGCTCCAAGTAGCCGCCGGGGTTCAAGTTGCTTGTGTTGTTAGCGTGGCGTATTGGCCGAGGTATGTGACTTACTTGTAGCATCTCTGGACGTATCTCTTCCAGTCAGAGATACTTCCGGTCATGGTTCGACTATGAATGTAATCGAACTGCTGCGAAAAGGTCCACGGCTCTTCGATGTCGTCGACTATGAAAGTCACGTTTGGCGGTACGCTAGAACAAGGGTCAATATTTGGGAATGAAACTCAGGAGAAGTTTCTCAGGGGATCTCATACAATGTGGTTTCAACGGCAGACAGATCAATGCCGACAACCTGTGAAAAGTCATTACTCCGCATCACAGAGAAGGAGGTATCGGGTATCCAGCAACCTCAGCCTCAGGATGCTCATCACTGAAGTCTATGGCCCAGGAGCCCGAACCTGTGCCAACATCCAGTCCACGCCCAACCTTAGAGCCTGACTGGCTGGGCGGTGCAGTTCCAAGTCGGTCGTCAAAGGTGCGAATGAACAGGTTATGCTGCAAGTCTTCCATCTTTTAGCTCCAAACGCTTCAATTGTGCAATGTTATGGGCTCTTACCAAGTCTATCGATCTCTTTGATGTCATTTGGCGCCATGTACTCTGAATTCGGTAGGTCAGACCTCGTTCTTGTAGCTGATGACATACACAGACTTACTTCCTTCCTTGTACGCATGATACGTTCGTCCATTCTCTTGTCGGTACTCGAGAATGGAGCCAGTCACGCTTGTCGTTGAAGAGGCGAAGGTTCCCTGTGATACAGATGTTTCAACGTCGTACTTTCATGATATGTGAGATTATCGCTTACTCCGCTGATTGAAGAGACATCGTCAACCGCGACCTAACCGTCAAGCGAGTCAGCAATTGTATATTTCAATAGCATGTGATTTTTGACCTCATCGGCAGCAAGCACACCGTTGCTATCGTTACTGATAGCGTGAGCTGGTCGATCTTTTGGGTTAAGAGCGTCATCGCTGAGCCCAGCTCTGGCTTTGGTGTTTTGGTCAGACATAGTGGGGAAAGACAGCACGGTTTTCGGCAAGACCTCTTCGACAGCGGTTGGTGAAGAGAGAAAAGAAACTAAGGGGTCTTGATTTTGAAGCGAACAAGAATTCTTTCGGGCGTATATAAGTCAGATCATAACTCATTCTGCCGTCCGGCGATGTGGCTGCAGTGGGCGACTCGGCCTTGTTGGTTCCAGGTTCCCCTCTTCTCGGCTGAAGACACCATGCATATCTGTTGCAATTCACTTGCAGAAACCCGCATTCTTTTACCTTTGGTAGCGAGCCACTCGCAAAATCATGCAGTTGCGATGCAGCACAGCGGCAAGGGCCCATCTGGCGGCTATGAGACGACTCTCGTTGGTTTCCTGTTGGTTCGCAATTTCGTTTCAAGCAATCAGAAGCAAGCCTGAGGCAACACAGAAAAGATAGAAAATACGATCAACTTGAAGCGATAATCAGCAACTTCTGCTTCATTGTAAAATTTGGAGTAGTAAAGTGCGGCGTTAGTGGAAGACAGCCTAACAGGACCAGGCAACTCGCGTTGTCGACCTCAGCAAGCATGAAGCCCGAGATCTTATCATCAAGGATGGAAGACTATTATCAGTTCCAGGCACCAGCGTCCGATGCGGGGTCATTAAATTATCGACATTAGCTCTTTTGTTACCAAACATCATACGTGCCCGACCAATTTGTTCTCTATCACCGCGATCAAAGTTTACTCCTTTTCTGGACGAGGTATCGGCGTTAATCCACCTCACAACATGCCTTCATCTCAAGAAGATATCGCGGCCTCGCTTGCAGCCTACCGATCGTTCATCGCAGAACAAAACTGCCGCGTTCTCGAGGTTTACGTACCCTTCATCGCCACAGCCAAACCTGATGAGCTGGAAGACGACGAAGATCTCAACCAGCTCCGTCTGGAAGCTTTGGACTCCCTTCTCGATACAACTCTTGCAGATTTTGGTGTTTCAGAGCCAAATGAGGTTCTAACACGTTACGACGAGCTCGCCCCAAAGATCGGCGCCGATGGCACCTACGTAATGCACGAGGGCAGTCACGAGGAACGCGAGGCTAAGCGACGCGAGTACCTTGACGAAATCGAGGAGAATATCAAGCTGAAATCAAGAGAGAACGTACGGGAGACGATCTCTATCCCAGAAGATTTTCGTATTCTGGCCGGGCTGGTCGACGGCGTCCTCGGTTACGGCATACCTTTCTGGCGCAACACAACTCAGCCAGCTTTCTGGTGGGGGTGTAGACGGTACCTGAGCTCGTATGCCTCAACAGTCATGACGCCCGAGGAACTGGATGAGTGTGAGGGCCTCGGCAGCTCCTGGCAGATTGCGGGAGGCTGGACGCCGGGAACCGGACCTGATGCCAACTTCAGCATCCTGCACTGCCGCCAATGTGACGAGGATGCTTGGTAGTGGAGGTACATTTTGTGCACAGCCGTTGATGGTGAGCACATATTTGAGACCATCCCGGACTTTCTGTCCTGGTACACTCATTTCGGGGAGGATGATGAGGTACCTGACCCGAACGATCTGAATGCAAACAGAGTTCTGGGCTGTGATTTCTGACCACATACCATTTTCGGCTGTGATTCATACCTTGGGTGTGACAAGACGTCTTTCAGCTGCACAATTCAACGAAGGGGATGAGGGCCATTCGGTTTAGATCCTTCATACAATCTGTAAGCAATCTCCTGATAGAAACATCCGGGGCACTTCCTAAATATTCATTCTAATGGCAGATATTCGCTATTTTTGAATCAGATGTCTTCAGCTTTTGATCCCCTATGTAAGCTTTCAAAACGAACAGTGATTGCAAAACGCATCAGTGAACAAATTGGACAACTACTAGAGGTAATTCATCCACCAGTATGCTTGTGGAATGAAGATGAATACAGCTGCAGATGCTTGCTTCTGTTGATATGAGTGATGAGCGGCAAGCTACGACCGCCCCAGGTCTCTGTTTCCAATCACACTTCCTGGGGCGCCGCTTCTTCCATAAGTTTGTTCTATACTTGGGCGCAATGCCCGATCAAGCGCCGTCCGTCACGTACTTCGTGTGATGTTAATTCTGTTTCCGTAATATTTTACCCGGACTCGTAAGAACCGAAGCACCTTGGAAGATCATAGGCGAGTACCCCGTACTACAACGTAGGTACATGTAGGCATCAGAACATCTTCTAGGTCCAAACAAAGTACCAAGTGAGGTTCAATTGCCGCGGTGTGCCATCTCCTAGACTGAATGGCGCAACGTGTACGCGTGTACCTTGCTACCGTTTGTCGAGAACAAATGTGTCGTATTTTGCAGCTGAATCTGCATGCGTAACTGTGTTCACTGGTCTCGTGGGCTTTCAGCTCCCTCCCGATCACAGAATGCTCTCATGGCTGAAGCCTGTTTGCTGCTTGACTGTCCGTATTCGGTGCGTCGTCGTACGATCACAATCAGCTGGGTCTGGTGTGGCTGCGCCTGGAAGCTCCTCAACTAGGGGGTCGCAGAGCACACTCCTTGCAGGGGCGAGTTGTGTTAGAATATCAGTTATTTATGCCAGCCTTATGCGGTTCAAGTAAAATTTGGCGTTTGGAATCCCTGTTAGTTCTCATTAGACTGGTGCTTGCTAAGGCTGAATGCGTTATGTGACGCGATGCCCCACACCGTCACCGAGACAAGCAGTAAGAAAGTGAGACTGCAAACTCTCTAGTCTGGCGGCAATCAGATACGCTTCATATGGAAATTTGACAGATCTTGGACTTCATGGGGATCTTTCTGGTGGTAACATAGTCCATGCGACGTTGCCCGTGTCGGAAATCATGCATGGAGGGGGACAGATCTATGAAGATGGGCATGAAGTCGCGCCCAACATGTCTGTTCTCCCCAAGCTCTTCATCAACAACACTCCATTATCCATCGCAAACATTTGTCACATAAACATAAGTCGACTTTTGAAAGGATGTCTTCAACTGCCGGTACCGCAACCCCAGTGGCTACGAGCTTCGTCCACGCCTTGCGAAGCAACGAAACGCTTTATCAAGCCTACACGAACGAGTTCGTGTCCAGCTCCGACGACGCACCTCCAAGCTCGGATGATGTGACGAAATTCATCCAAAGTCAAGGCTATGATACCAATCTAGCTGATGTGAATGCCGCTTTGGCAAGCGTTTCCGCCAACGACCTGTCTTTTTGGCAGGGCGACTACAACACCCAATTCGTCGACGAGGGTTCCACCGGCCCCAGAGTTGTCATCCAAGCCGGGGTTGTCACAGTTTTGGGGACTCAGATAAACAATTACACATTCAATAATTTCACCCTCGCATGGACGGACAGCACCAACACCAGTAACGGCCAGATCACCTTCGCCAGCATGGTCGATCTCAACCCGCAAAGTGATCCAACTTCTCCCAATCTCCGAACAACTCAGGGCCAAGACGATACCAGCGCTGGAATCGCAAATCCATACATCGGTCCTCAGTTCCAAGTTTTTTTTGGGCTCAAGGCCGCCATCAACCTAGCGATGCCAATATCTGGGGTCGCATGGGGAAATTCTCAGAACCCACTGCAAGTGCAAGTGCTGTCTCGTCCAGCCAGGGACCAACTGAAGCCTCGACCTTGCCGCAGTGGGCTGGCACATACAAGATTTACACCGTAGACCAGACAAAGCAGGGCTCTGTGACCAATCTCCAGCAGAGCACCAACTTGGTGACAATCGATGCGAGTGGAAACGTCACTGTGAACGGCACCACCATCAATCAACCAACCTTCAACAACGACATGCTAGAGTGGACCTTCGATGCCGGAAATCAATCGAACGCTATTCATAAGATGAGAGATGCCACCGTTGCTGCCTCTGATGCGCCCTTTACCGGTGATCAATTTGCAGGTCATTACTGGGCGAAGAGCGATCCGCAGCCAGCAGCCTACAACTGGTACGGGTACGTTAATGGGCAAAGTGCCCCGAGTCCCAACAATACCGCCGGTAGCGGATCAGCATCGGCCTCCCCAGGAACTCCGCAGACGGCAGTTCAAGACATGAACGGCTGGGCTGCTCTAGCGTCGCTCGGGTCTCAAGCCATGAACATGTACATGCAAATGAAGATGGGCGAGGCAGTTATTGAGCTCCTCAAGAAGGGGCTGCCTCTTCTTTGGAGAAGCCTCAAAGCTCTCTTCAGGGGCGTCAGCAACTCGATTCAGAAATTTCGAGGCAGTGCTCCTGAGCCGACGGGTGCAGAAACCGAACTATCGTCATCTGAGCCTGTCGAGAATGGTGAGCCTGTCGAAGGAGAACCTGTCGACCCTGCGGAGGGAGGCCCTGGGCCTGACGTGAACAACGAACCGGCTGGCGGCGACCCAGTCATCGAACCTCCGGTCATTGAGCCCCCGGCTGATCCCGTCAACATTCCGGAAATTCCGGCAGAGGGGGAGGGACTCATTCCAAAAATTGAGACTGGTCTAGTGGATGCTATTGAGAGCGGACTCATTGCCGTTTAGGTGGAATCCTCATATATCAGAAAACGGGATGTTTTATGTCGTAAATCACACGATCGTTTGATGGAAACAGTTTCGTAATGGAGTTGTCCCTGATGAGTAGCCCATAATGCCTAATTATCAGATTGACAGGCAAATACGGCTAATGTAACTTTTTCAATGATCAACCAGAAAATACAATGTTAATAACGATTGCTATTAATATGAAATGAGTCTGAGTTTACAGTTATTTCATGGAAGCTAACGATAAACCTAATCCGGGTTGCCTGGGTGTAAATAGAGTTCGTAGTTGTGACTTCTAGGCTATAATGGAAGCCTCCTTTTTTCCCTTCTTCTTCTCTGGCCATCTTTTTTTCGCAGCCTGGATGGCAGGTATTTCAGATCAAAGTTAGTATTACTACTGGTCCTACTTGCTCCGCTGAACCAAAGTTGCGCGGACAGTACGATTATAGCGATTCGTGGATCTTGAATTTTTGACTCTCTTCAACTTTAACACTATTGCTAAGAACTACATTCCATTCTTCCTAGCCCAAACCTCTGTCAATTTCAGCTTCTCTTACTAACTCTTACCCCTTGTTTTACTGAAGAGGGAAGACCAGTATCTTTCTGCCTTATTTTAGAACAAATCATTATCACGACTCCTTATCCTTACTGCAGGCACACTGATATTCACCACCGCCCCTGTCTCAACTATCCGAACAAGCCGTTGACGCTATCGTCGTCGATATCGATAAAATGATTACCGAAGTCATCTCAGCTAACACCAAATGGTTATACCGGCTAGTCCGTTCAAATGATCCTGTGGCTACAGCGGCAGAGAATATTGTTGATCGAGTTATAAAGGTTATGAATGAGACGCGCGAAATGTTGCACTGGCACGCGAACAATGGGAAAAGCTGCGCAAGCTGAAACGCTACCTCGGAAAGAATGACAAGTTTGACAAGAACCTGCACCGCGCATTTGAGCTACATGACCAGTGGGCTGGGGGTTTGACGGGAGAGCTCAAGGAATTGACCTCATGGTGCGATGAATGGTCAGTACCTCCTTCCTTTTACTCGCCACTTTGCAGAAGCTGACAACGGTGTGCCAGTCGGTCTCGCCCACGCTGCTCGTGAGCGACGCCGCAATGAACAATCATAAAAGTCTCGTTAAGACAGTACCAGACAATACCGTTTCAACGGCGATGAGAGAAAGAAAATATGAAGGTTGATTCCATCATTAAATAGAAATAAGGATGTGCAAACTGAGCCACTTGCCTCTGAGTTGGGTGCTTAGTTACCTGTTGCGTTTGGCCCAGTCAATCATCTCTGAGCAACTCCAACTCAATATCATCCAAGCCCCTCAAGGTAAGAGGCAAAAGCTCCCGCAATGGTGGCGGTTGACTCATCTCCACGAGAGGTCAGAGGGAACCAACCTTTTGTGGAAGTAACTGAAAGCCCATCGGCGATAAGGCCCCAGCAATTCTCGAAGTGAAATGGGCAACGACTTGAACCCACCCTCTCTTCCCCAATTGGCTCAGCACCATTCCCCGAGCAACAAAGTTCCGATCGCGTCACGTGGTGGTTCGGCCCCAAGTCAGGCCACCCCAGGCATCCAATATCCGAAGCTGGGGCCTCACGAAGTCTATAAATATGTGGCCTCCTCGCACGCCTTAACTTGTTTTTCTTCCTTTTCTTTTCTTCATACTTACCTTATCTGGCTGTCTGGGGATCAAGAAATCCGGGCGGCAGAGAGGGAGGCCTGCATTGCACATCGCGGAGTCGACCTCTCTCGATTGTCCTTCGGGGCCATCGTGGGTGCAATTTTTGATATTTGCCTGTCGCAAGACAACCTTTTCATTGTGCGCATTGCCTTGAGCAGTGGTATGAAGAAGAGATCTGACACCTAGATGCTGATGTGACTATGTACAATCTATCTTCAGTGAGATGTTGGTCTACGTACGCGTTGTAGTTGATCTGTCGAATATTTGGAACATGCTGTGGTACCTGCTGCTGCTGTCTGTCGTCCCTGGCGTCGTAGTCCGTGTCGTCCCTGTCTGAGGAAGGAAATCCCGACACTCGCAATTGCCATCCACCTCCCTCAGCCCACGAGTCCAACTTCGTCTCGTGCCTATGACAGACTACGTTGGTAGAACTTGAGCACTCAGATCAGAGATGCTGCTTCGAAAGCCGTCAAGTAGACGGCAGCATCCGCCGTTCTGAGGTTCGCGCCGCGATCACCAAGGTCAACGGTCCAAGGCGCCCAATATCGTCAGCGCAGCGGATTTTACCTCGACAGCACACCGAGCATCTGAACGCTCAATGGGATGTTATTTTCACATGATCTAACATAGCACCACAGTTTCCCAGCGCGGATTGCACTCCCTCCACCGACTCACCCTCACACACCCAACCCCGACCCTCCTTGCGACAAACTGCTCGTACGGCAGCCGCTCAACAAGCATGACATTGAACTGCCACAACTCATGAAACTGCCCCTCGATAAACGCCCACTGGCCTCTCTCGCTGGTAGCCTCCTGCAGCCCAGCGCTGATGACGATGAAATCGAGCATTCTCCTGCGATCTCTTTTACCTTTCCGCCCGGCAATCCACTCCGGGTCCATCTTGTCAAGGTACCCAACCTGCCGCCCCATCACGTCCAGAATCTCTGCGTCCTCGAACTCGCCCGCTGCCCTCGTCCCCGACCGTCTGTGATCACGCCCAATCCGCAACGACGCGACGGTGGTATTAAACACCAAGCACCCGGGAAAGTCGCTCGCAATCTCCACAGCCGCGGGATCCAGCCCCGGGCGCGCGAGGGCTTCCCATGGGCTGTGAGGACACCGGTTCCACATCTCCTCGTACATCCGGTCCGTCTCCTCCGACACGCTGATCCTGCCGCCGCTCATCCGCCGCTGCAGCTTGGGCAGCTTGTCCGGGCTGATGATGTTCATCTTGCGCATCTCCATGCCCAGCCATCGCTCCCTGACGCCCACCCTCCCCAGGCCGCGGCCCGGATCCTGGAAGTGGAACGCGACCAGCGTCACGACGCGGACGAGCTTGGAGTCGTTGAGCTTCTCCTCCCCGTGAATCCACCTGTATCCCGCTTTGCCAACCCATCCCGCCCAACTCCAGCTTGGGATCCAGGCCGTCTCCTCGCGGCGCGCCGCCCTGCCCGTGTGACTCCACATCAAAGCCTGCGGCAGACACGTCGCAGGTAGCCCGTACATGACCTCCGTCTTCATGGCCTTCTTCACCGCGTTGCCGACTCCGGCGAAGGCGTTGAGGACGTCCCCGCCGTGCGAGAGCTCGCGAGGCGTGTAGTTTTCCACCCAGAGGCAGTAATCCGCCAGCGTGATGTGGTCTTGGAGTTGGATCGTGGTGGACTTGCCGAACCTCGGCTTGCAGTAGAACCCCGTTCCGAACGAGTGTTTGTTCTTCTTTCGTTTCTCATCATCGTGACTGACGCCGGCATCTGCATCGCCATCGCCGCAATCATGATCATCCTCGTGGCCGGCCTCTTCGACGGGCGAGTAATACGGATCATCCTTCAAACGCGGGCCCCAAGTGAGTTCCTCCGCCGCTTGCGCGCGACAACACTCGAATAAGACCTGATACTCCGTGATGAACAACCGTCGCTTCGTGAACAATCTCTCCTGGAACGTCCACCCACGCCTGTTCCACAGCGAGGGATCGACAATGGCCTGGACGCCGTTCGGATCGATCCCGCGACGACTGTTACGATTCCTCGGCGGTCCCCAAAGCGAAGCCCCCGGCCTCCTCTCGTCAATGTACCCCGGCAGCCCCTTCCCCGTGCGGTCGTCCAAGGCGGCCATGATGGCGAACGCGGCCGACCTGTAAATCCGATCCATGCCGTCAATCTGGTCCGGCTTCGACCGCTCATCGTCCTGCACGATGCACAGCCGGTCCACCCACAGATACCGCTCCCCGAGGTCCCTGCACAGCGAGATCGTGTCCGTGATGAGCCGGGGCAGCGAGACCGCCGAGAGGCTGCCTTCCGCCCCGAGATCCTCCGCGTTGGCATTCACAAGCTGCGCGTGTCCCGCGCCCTCGCTGGCTTCCCACATGTAGCTCAGCGCGACGAACCGCACCGGCTCAAACGGCTGCAGGATCCTCATCTCCCGCATATCAATCACGCGAAACCCGCGCGGCAACTCAGCTATACCCTCCATGATCAGCTAGCCATCCAAGCTCTCTCCCGAAGTCAGGGAACAACTCACATGTAGACGCATACTCAGCACCGCAAGCATCATGCCACCTCTCACAATGCTGGATCCACCCCTTCAACGTCCCGATCTCGAACCTCTCAACCTCCCATTCCTCAACCCCAACCAGCCGCGGCACCTCGTCCCCTCCCGCAGAATACTTCATCCGGAACTGTGGCGTCACAGCAAACGGCACCGGCACCTCGCCTTCCCCGTTCCTCACAAGACCAACCGTCAACTCCAAAAACAACCTCACATCCCCGTCCGCCAGCCTCCTCTCCTGGTCGACCTTATACCCCGAGTCCAAGAAAAACGGCCCCTGCACAGCGACATACACCTCCTCTACCGACGCCGCCCTCAACCACCCTTCACACTGCCCATTTGCCCTCCTCGCTTCCACGGCCGCCCCGAAAGCGGCACAAACAAGACATCCGCTCCCGGCCCGGAGGACCGCCGCGAGCGGGAGGTAGTAATGCGCCTTGGCCCCGCGCCCCGCAGCGAACTCGGGGACGTCCCAGTCCTGGCACCGCGCGCAGAGCCGCGGGCTCGGATCGTCGGGGCGGCGCGCGGCGAGCTCTCTGGTGTAGTGCTTCGTCGACGGGGCGCCGCCTTTGGGGAAGTCGATGTCTGCGCGGAAGAAGTATGTTCGCCCGAGCATTCGGGTCCTTGGTGGAGTTTGAGTTGCGGGTTTTGGTTTGAGAGAGGTGAGGTCAAAGTCTGGGGGAAAATAAAAGTGGACAATTGGGTTGATGATGCTGTTTCCCACTTGGCTATGTAGACTCAGGATGATTTCGCTAAAAGGAGCCCACGGTTGTGTCGTCTTTGTATTGTAGTCCGAAAGACTCAATCGCCATGGATGAACGTCAAAAAAAGGTGGGGGAGAAAGGGGAGCAACATGGTTGCCAGCGTGTTGGTCCGTTGCAGGAACCGGATCCTTGGACTACGACTCTAGTGCAGCATGGCTTCGAGCTACTCTTGACAAGCTCCGGATAGTGCGTCATGGTGTATTCTCTGTGAAGTCATTGAAAACAGTCGTCGCTCGTGGTCATTCGTCTCTCCCGTCGTTCCGTTGCCTGAATACCGCAGTCCCTCTTACATAGGTCTTCATACCAACCAAGTCGTGATGGCCCGAGTTCAGGAGCAGCTCACAGAAACGAGTCAGAGTAGTGCAGATAACGTCAATATATTGTGTGCAGATGGAGCCTCCGAGGTCACGACACCCGAGGTTCCTCTTCCTGATAACTCCCAACCTATGCCCCTATGGCCAGCACTGTCGCTATTATACATGATCCCGCTCTCACACCTCTTTCTGTTTTTTGATTTCCGTGGCAGCCGAACGCTGATTGCCCAAGGGGATGTCCCCTCCCCTTAACCGTTTGCTTTCATATGTATGATCCAGAACAATAAGGCAGACTCGACGTCTCGTGTGATCTTTCAGCCATGTGATTCGTACCTTTCCCGCGCCGAATAGTAGAAATCAACCGAGGACCTTTCTGATTAAAAGTTGGTACGCAGCGAATGTGGAGTGCGTCGTTTGGATGGACTACACTAAGAGTAAGGCTGATGGAACGTGTGGAATGCGTATTCTATACAAGAAGGAACTTTAGGAGTCGAAGTTGGGTGCAGGACGAATCATGCGTAGAAGGCCTCGATGAAGTAGATGAAACCGAAAATGAGGAAAGCAACGGCGCCGCCAACGGTGACTGAGAAATGTTAGCAGGAGACATTACCAGAGAATGACACCAAAACTTACCAACTTTGAGAGAGACGCGACCTGCGATAGCACGACCACCAATGACGGCAGCGCCAGTGCAGATGCAGTGACCGACCATGGCACCGAGAATGACCCACCAGTAATCCTGGCCGGCGGCCATGGCGATCGTGGCGATCTGGCTGCGATCACCCCACTCGCCGAGGAAGGTCATGACAAACGTCTGAACCCACGCAGGGCTGAGAAGAAGGGAGAGGAGGTTGTTCAAGCCCTGCAGGGAGCCCCGGAGGCCACCAGGACCCGGAGACAGGCTTCGAGCGGGAGAGGTAGACGGTGAGCGAGGAGGCGAGGGGAACCGGCTCTTAGATCTCGACTTCCTGTCGTTCAGGCCCATCTCCAGAGCGTAGGGGGACACGGCAGAGCCGCGACGCTTGCCCTCCTTCTCCTTCTCAGCAAGCTCTCGCTCGACCTCGTGAAGCTCGGCAGTGACACCCTCGTTGGGGTCCATGCCGAGACCCTCACGCAGCATCTTTGCGCCAAAGACGAAGAACAGAGCAGCGGCGAGGAAGCTCGTGATGTGCTTGGGAATCAAAGTCGGAACCGCGTGGCCGAGGACGGCAGAAAGGACGGTCATGACCAGCAGAGCGCCAAAAGCAGCTGAGAAAACCACCATACGGTCGTGCTTCATCGCCATGAGGGCAGCAACAAGGAAGGTCTTGTCGCCGACCTCGGAGACCAGAATCATGGTCAAGGACAGAACGAAGGAGTGGAAGGGCTGAATCACACCCTCTTCGGCCTCACCGGCGGAGGTGGACGACTTGCCCTTGGATTTCGGGAGATCCAGATGATCCTTGTGAGCCGAGTTCGGGATCGGATTGGGCTTGTCGTCGAGCTTGTTAGGGAGATCTGCGGGTTTCTTGGGCATGTCAGCATTACGCTTCAAGATAATTAAGATGCCAGAAGCTTACCTCAAGGCCGGCGACGTGCTCAGGCGTGTAGCGGTCTTCATGCTCCTTGTCCTTGGTAGTATCCTTGTTGGCAGTCTTGTCGCTCAGAACCTTCTCCTGCTCACTATGTGGCAGAGGAGGCTGCTCTTTCGGAGCAACTGGCTTTGTGTCAACCTTTCCACCTGTCCTTCCCTCCGCGGCCTTGCGCGCCTTGTCCTTCTCGCTGACACCTCCTTCGGTGCCGGTGGTGCCCTCCTTGGGCTTCTGACGGGTCTTATCGTCCATGACTCCATCGTTGGACTCGGGAATCCTCTGTCCATCGATGACGGTAGGGTCCGATGGGCGTCCCTTCAAGGGAGGAAGGCCCTTCTTCGAATCGGCGTCGGCGGACTTCTTGTCGCCGTCGCTCTTGTCGACCCAAGGACCCTGATGGGGCATGCCATCCTTGCCGTCGACGGGTGCGTGTTCAGTGCCGTATCGTGTCTTTTTGGTCGAGCCAACTGGCGCATCGGCGGACTTATCCGTAGACTTGTCGGTGGAAGCTACGGCTTTGGCGACATTCTTATCCGCTGTGTCGACGGAGAGGCCTGCAACAAGACCAGGGATCAGGAGCAGGAGCAGAGGAGAGGGTCGCCTCATGGTGAAGTGGTTCTCGAGGGATCGTGCCTCGAAGTAGCAGCAGCAGGGAGCAATAGGGTGGGATGTGAAAGAAAGTGTGGTGAGTGCCCAGAAGTTCTTCTGTCCTCGCCAGGGGCAATAGCAAGAAAAGGGCAACGGGTTTCTGATTAACTGTGCTAATGCGACTGCAGCTAAGCCACGGGTTTTCTAAAATTGTTACGTATCTTTCTGCTGCACGGCCACGGGGGAGCCATTTGGAGGACGCGCCGCGCGGTGCCCCCATGTTCCGACGGGCTAAACGTGCCCCACAAGGGGCGACTTCAGTCTTAGGTTCAACTGTGAACCTGTGTTGGCGGGCCCCGGCGGCCCCCTAGAACACGCCTCTTGCAGCGGGTGAGTCGTTCCATTCCACTGAGGGGGCCTATATGGGATAACTCGATAGAGGACACGGTCATCCCAGATACTGGACGGAGCTTCATCAGTGGCGTTGCAAATCATGCTGCTACTGTTGGCCCGCTGCAACGCGCAAGACGTACAGAACTGCCTTTACCTTGGACTGCCAATGCCTTATGGACAGGGACACAGTTAACTGAGAAAATAAGGTATTGCTGTTCATCGTGTTTCCTGACAGGTGGATGCAGCCGTGGACCAGGTTGCATCCATTGAACCAACCCCAGATTTGCTCGCAGAATTCCGAGAGTTTGCTTGGCCACAACGGGCTCCCGTCCAGGATACGTACCGGATCAGCATCATCGTTGTGGGTTGTCGCAGAAGCTCCAGCTGCTGGTGCACTGAGTGCCGGAGCTTACAGCAGCTTCGTTATCTTATCTCCGCCGACCGGCGACTTGCTAGGGAACCCCACCTACCCCGGGACTCTTTATGGATGTCGTCAACGACCGCCTCTTCGTGAAACATAAACCGAGCATCGCTTCTCAACGTGATTCACCTAATAACCGTCCACTTGCACCTGAAATTCACCATAGAACCTCTCGCGCGCCAGACGATAGCGAAGCTGCCACATACGCTCTCGCTTTCAACCCCCATCACACATCGGCAGTCTCATATCCGAGCTCCGTTGTATCATCCGCTGTAATCCGAGCTTCCGTGAACACTATTGGCTCGAAATGCCTCGATTCGGCGGTGACTCGCGGTCGCCTTCTCCTCCAAATATGGCGCCGTCCAGCGATGACGGTGAACCCACGTGGAGGCTGTTCTTTGATCCCGAGGAGGTTGACGAGATGGACAATGACGATGACGAATATGACCCTGATTTCCAAGACGAGCCCAATGAAGAGGACGACGATGAAAGTGAATATCATGGTGAGCCAGATTACCACCTGCGTTGAGATGCTGCGAGCTTCATTGGCCTCGTTGCTTACACCCCGCAGATGCCGACGACGGTGGCGACGGCAACGTCGAGGTCGAAATGCTTTTGAACGCAGGGGAGAATGACGAGGAAGAAGACGATGACGATGACGAAACTGGACCTGACAATACGATTTCAAGAATTATGGCTCTGTTGAGTATGTCTTGCCTCCCATGACCAGCTCCTGGCATCACGACTGACACTAAACAACAGCGGGTGCGCGCACCGGAACGGGCTTTCTAACGAGGGCCCAACTGCTTGGTCTGATTGAGAGGGGGGAAGTGACGTTGCGCGGTGTTGATGAAGACGACGAGGACGACGACGTCAACCCGTGGGGAGCCGGAAGACGCAGGAGGAGGCCTCGGGAGCCGGTCAAATTTCCCAAGGTGCCGAGCGACGAGGGCACGAAGCTGATGCACTCTGGCGCATTTGGTTCAAACAAGTACCGCGTGTCGAAGAAGCAATTGGCAAGGCGGATGCTTGATCGCGAGCTGGGACTCGGTGGCAGACGGGACCGGCAACAAAACCAAGACCTCATGGCCCAGGGTATGATTCCATCAACAACACCCGAGATGATTGTACACTACGACGACCCGGTCTACTCTGGCCAGTTTTCCGACGACGGCAACTTCTTCTACGCATGCGGTCATGATTTCAAGGTCCGCATGTACGACACCTCGAATCCGTACGATTGGAAGTATTACAAGACGGTCACCTACCCCTGGGGTCAATGGACTTTGACAGACGCTTCTCTCAGCCCTGACAACCGCTGGCTGGCTTACACATCCATTCAAAGTAACGTATGTCTTGCGCCTACGGATCCTAACGATACCGGCGATCCGTACACGCTTGACCTTGCCCAACAAAGTGTAGAGCAACAGCGTGCCCAGGGATGGCGCACGAGACACGCCTTTGGAATCTGGTCCGTCAGATTCTCGGGTGACGGTCGAGAACTTGTGGCGGGTACCAACACGCAATCTATTGTCGTCTATGACATTGAGTCGCGTACTGTACTGCATAACGTCGTTGGCCACGAAGACGACGTGAACGCTGTCTGCTTTGCAGATAAATCCTCCCCGCATATTCTCTACTCCGGCTCAGACGACGCAACCATCAAGGTTTGGGACAGACGCAGCATGGGAGACCAAAGACCTGCCGGAGCGTTCGTTGGACACGTCGAGGGTCTCACATATATCGACAGCAAGGGCGACGGCCGATACATTCTCAGCAACGGAAAAGATCAAACGATGAAGCTCTGGGATCTGAGAATGGTCATGTCCATGTCCAAGTACGACGAAGTCAACCCCACCAGGGTGACCGGAAATAGCGATTTCGACTACAGATGGGGAACGTACAGGGACGAGGACTGGTTCCCCCATCCCAACGATAACTCCCTTGTCACGTTCAGGGGCCATCGGGTGATGCGCACACTCATCCGCTGTCACTTCTCGCCACCTGCCAGCACGAATTCGCGATACGTTTACTCTGGCAGCCAGGACGGAAAGGTGTACATCTGGAACTTGGATGCTACTTTGGCGGGCACGATTGATGTAAGAAAGGCGACCAAGAACTCGCGGCCTCTTGAGCGCAGATATCGCATCTACCACGGGGATGACTTCCCAGGCTGGAACACATGCGTGCGAGACGTGAGCTGGCACCCCAATGCGCCAGTACTCGTTGGTAAGTAATGGTACACCCATGCCTACAGCCTAGTAGCTAACAATGGCAGCTTCCGCCTGGAACGGCTTCAATATGGCCCATGGAACGTGCACCTTGCATTCATACAACGAAACCGAGGACGACGAGGCCGAGCCCGAGATGGGTCGTAGTTTGGACGAGAAGCTGCGTCCGGTAGGCGACGTCGGATTCCACATGTAGATTTCCTGCAACACACATCACTAGCGAAAAAGGCAGCATGGGATGATTATTTTCGATTATTTGTACATCCTCCACAAATGTCAACCCCTCTTTTGGCAATGATACATGATCGATGAAGCCTCTGGGTCCGGGGTATCTCCTGACGCTGCATGCGTCTTCCGCCTCTCGAAGTTGCTGTATTGCAATCTAGCCATGCGATGCTTTTGAACCCCTTGCTATTCGTATAACGTGTTCATCTTGGCCGACAACAATTGTCGACGCGGTTTTGGTTTGAGAAGCTGGTCCGCTTTACTGGTGCCTCCGCTTGACGAAAGTGTCGCCGTTTATGCGCCTCCGACGAGGATGTTGTTGACGGGGATGTGGATCAGCTTGACGATGTAGCCGACAGCGCCCATGATGAGGAAACCGACACCGACAGCCTGGCAGAGCTTCAGGAACTCGACCTTGTCGGCTGTTGACACGTTAGCAATTGGCGCACGAGATGGGGACTGCGATGCGCTACGTACGCTTGGTGCACCTCCTCATGAACTGAACACCGTCCTGAGCGAACTCGGAGGGAACCTCAAGGATCTCCTTAACCTGGTCGGCCATTGTGGATAGAAGCGCGTGGGTATCGAGAAGAGAAGACGGGGTAAAGGTCGCAGTAGAATCCCAATGGGTCGCGATATAGAAGGGAAACCGTCGAGAGGACTAAAGGAGGGCGCGACGTCGAGTGTTCAAGACGTGCAGGTCGGATGGGTGGAAGATTCGAGAGGTCGATGGCGAAGGGAGATGTGTTAAATTGGGACAGAGCACGCGCTGTCACCAAGGGTCCCAAAATTTCGGGCTAAGCTCCCGCTATGGCAGGAAGCCAGATTGCCATAAAGGAGGCATGGAGGAATGATGCGCCGGGCCCCGATGCACACGCCACGGGCTGCTTATCTAAGGTGTCGCAAGGTTGATTGCGCGAATGGAGCCTCCTTCAGTGGAGTGGTGCTCGTGAGGCCCTGGATTTCCCCCGCCAGTGGACAAGTGGAGTGCTGGACTGGGCCTGGTCCAGCCAAAGAGTCCCGCGTCTTCAGCACATGATAAGGTGCTTTAGCGACCGTGGTACGTACCGCCACTGCTAAGCACCTCAAAGCTGGACACGGGCTCCACTTGGGCATCCACCGGCGGCGTCTGTGCCTGCCGCAGCCTGGCAGCCGTGGCCCTTGCCTTGTTCCGCCTGGTTCAGGATGCGACCTCAGCTCTCTCAGGAGCTTCCCCCAGTTTTCTTCTCTTCCCAAACGCTCCTCCGGCTTCCCTCCTCAACTGCATTTCTTCATCGCGTCAACACCAAGACGACTTTATCTCCATCCGCTGGCTGATACCGACCCAGCACGCGTTATCGAACCCGACGCGTCGCTTTGACGCCCTTGAAAATACCAGACCAAGTCGCCAGCGACGCACCTGCGGCTGCTGACCTCGCCCGGAAACCTTAACTGGCTTCCTAGATCCCTTACTAACCACCCCCGGCTGACAGCTTCGGCCGCAAGTTGAGCGGGCAGGCACGCGCAAGGAGGCGACGGCCAAAAGGCGGTGGCAGAACGGGCAAACGGACTCTGGAATCTCGGGATCCTGTTTCCACCTCTCTCCCTCGTCCAACTTCTATCTTTTGCCTGTACCTAAGGCTTTCTGGGGCCGGAAAAACAAGGAAAGACAAATTATCACGCCTTCTGGGAAGACGGAAGACCGAGGCACAGAGCTTCGTCTTCAATTTTTTACTTGGCTGAAAGAAAAGGGAGAGGACTCCTGGCTTGGGGCATTCAATCCAACCTCTTCCCATCCTGTCCTGTCTGCGGAACGAGGAGTGTACGTATCAGTTGTTCTCTGCTTCCATCCTGTTTCCTGCTCGAGTTCCATTTGGCTCAAGATTTCTTCTGGCAATGACCCTGTACCTGGCAGCGGCTGATGATCCCGTTCAAAGACTGCAGACGGTCCCTGTATCTTCGCAGACTAATAACAACCATTTTACAACCACAACCAAGCTCTCTACTTCAACTCACGGCTACCAGATACCACCGGCACCATGGCTGAAGAGGAATTCGAGATCGACATCTACGGCGACGCGCCCCAAGATAACCACGACGGCAACGCTGAGGCCTACGATGGAGGTGCCACCAACGGAAACGCCGACGATCACCACACGGAGCAGAAGCACGACAACCACGAAGAGTATCACGACCAGAACGAGCAGGACCAGCAGGACGCACCTGCCCCTCAGCAGGGCGTCAAGAGAAAGGGCGACGACCGGCCTATCGACCCCGGTGCGACGACGGCCATCATGATTTCTGACCTCAACTGGTGGAACACCGATGATGACATCAGGGGATGGTGTAGAGAAGGCCATTGCGAAGACGAGCTGAAGGACATAACGTTTAGTGAGCACAAGGTCAACGGCAAGAGCAAAGGGTAGGTTGCAGAGGTCCTTTAGGGAGTGTCGGCTGGCTAACTCTCCCAAAGGCAAGTATACATCGAGTTTACCACTCAACAAGCAGCAACAGCAGCCAAGCATGCTATTGAATCAACAGATGGCGTCAACGGTGCCCCGAAGAAGCACAACGTCACCTACTCGAACCCCAACGTCAACCCGTTCCGTACGCTGCCTAAGGATGCACCAAACCGCGCGGGTAAGGACCAGGGATCCTCTCGCGGCGGCTACAACAACCAAGGCTCTTCGATGGGCGGCGAGTTCCGCGGCGGCTACCGCGGCCGAGGAGGTTTTAATGGACCTCGCGGAGGTATGAACCAGGGCTTCAACCGCAACTTTTCAGGTGGCGGCGGCATGGGAGGCGGATTCAACAACAACATGGGTGGTGGCTTCAACAACGGCATGGGCGGAAACTTCGGCGGCGGCGGCGGCTTCAACCGGGGCGGCGGCTTCGGTGGAGGTATGCGCGGCGGTCCCGGAATGCGCGGCGGCCGTGGTGGCGGCATGAACAACCCGATGGGTGGTATGGGTATGGGACCGATGGGCGGTATGCCGATGGGAGGTATGCCCAACATGAACATGATGGGCGGCGGAATGCCTGGTACGACCCCCTTTCCCTGCGAATTTCAACTTCGTCCTTCACCTTCAATTGCTGGTTTTCTCCTTGGGCAATCCCCTTTCCTTCCATCTCAACCGAGCAGTTGGCCACTTTCGTTATTTTCTTCCGCTCCCGGGCGATCCGTTCTCTCTGCGTCTCATCCCACCACTGAGCAACCCGCAAAACGCAAGCGTTCAGCGGACGTAGTAGCGGAGGCGTCAGACCTGAGGAGCAAACGTGCAGCGGAAGTAATAGCGGAGTTGCCAGACCTGAGGGACCGACGTCTGAAAGACTGGCTCGCCAGAATCTCTCCTGAGCCATGACGGCCATGCCTTTTTCAGGCTGCAGGCAACCTCCTGGACAAGCTGAAGCTTTCTTTAACCCTACTTCTGTTTTGTTTTCAGTTACAGTTATTTCGTCGGTGGAGAGCCGCACGCTAACGACAAAACAGGCTTCCATGGCATGCCCCAACAGTTCAACCCAGCATTCTTTGGAGGAAACCAGGGCGGAGGCAACGACTGGGGCAACCCTCACGGTGCAAAGAGACCTCGGCCGGAGTAGGGCTCCTGGAGAAAGGGCTCTTCGGCAACTCACCCACGCCCCACCTCGAAATAGTGTCTTGGACTTCAATGGGAGAGTTTCAACAATAATGGAGTGTTGCTTGCGAACAGGTCACCAGTCCCAGCACATTGTACAGCTGGATAGAATGAGACCAATGCTGTCTGCTCGTTTGCTAAGTCACAGGATCGGATACAGAGTGTACTATTAGAATTTTGATTGCATGGGAAGAAAGGTTTCCGGCAGCTCGGTCCTGGCGTTAGAGTTGTTTGAACAAACCGCACCTTGTACACACATCCAGGCTGCGTTTGCTTATCAAAGTTACTGTATTCACATTTTTCATCTCGTCTTGAGTTTCTGTATCGTCGTGCGGACGAGCTCCTGTATCTGTCCCCACCGCATCACAAGCATCTCCCGCTGGAACTCCTCGCCCTCGTTCAGCTTACTTATCAGCTCAACCTTGCGAGAGATCTCCCCGTCATACGCCACGAGCACCTCTTTCAAAATGTCATCAACCTCAGCCTGCTCCGCTTCCCCGTCTTCGAACCCATCCACGAACCTCGCCCACCTCCTCGCTGGCAGCACCATACTCCTCAACGCAACCTGCGTCCGATAACACACCGTCTCCGCATCGACCATCCACTTCCCCAGGAACCCCCTTTCCTCGAGCCTCTTCCTCTGCGCAGCGCCTAACCTCGGAAGCAGCACCTCGTCAAGACACGCCTCGTCCCACTCGTTCTCCCCATCCCCCATCACGAAGCCGTACTCCACCAGCAGAAAGTCGTTGCTATGCCGCCCGTAGCAGATATGGATCTCCTCCCCGGAGGCATAGTCCCTGTCCGCGCGGATGGTGAAGGATTCGGTGTCGAAGGCGACGTTGCACCCGCGCGAGGCGTGGTTGAGCAGGTCCGCGACGGGCTGCAGGATCATGTGGTCATCGCGGCTGCGCTTGGCCGTGCGCGGGGTGACGTGGTAGAAGGTGCGTGAGTTGACGAGCAGCCAGGCGTGGCGGTAGGCGGCGTAGGTCAGGTCCGGGAGGGCGGCGGCGGCGAGGGACCAGTGGGCCTCGAACTTTTCGGACTGCGCGGCGAGGAGGGCGGCCGCTTTCGGGGGCAGGTGGGCTGTGAGCGCGGCGGGCCAGGTGAGCGGGCAGGAGTAGAGATCTGCGGGCGTCGGGAAGACGGTGGACCAGATTTTGAAGGAGGAGGAGGTGTCGAGGGCGATGTCGGCGGCGAGGAGGGCGTGGACGGCGGTGTCTTTTGGGAAGAGGCAGGATATGGGTTTGGGGACTGTGGCAATTGTTTTTAGGCAGGGAATGGGCACGTCGAGGACGGCGTCGTCTTTCTGGGGGTTGTGTTAGTGATGTCGTGGGCGAGGAAGAGGGAGGGAAGAGGCTGACTTTGATGGGTGAGGTTGCGACGACGCCTATGCCGCGGCCGGGAAGGGCGCGAGGCCCAACGTTGTTTATGGTAATGCCTTGGGTCTTTGCCCAGGTTAAGAGGTTCTCGATGGCATCCATGGTGAGTGGATGAGTGTTGGAATATACCTAGTTGGAACTACTGCTGTCCGTCGTCTTCGTGGCAGATGGTCCTCAACGGTTTACCCAGAATTCAATGAATTACTTCAAAAGTGAAAACAAATGCCCACAGAAGTCGTCAACTTTAATCGTGTAACTAAGCTTCCTAAACGATCTGAGTGAGTTCCAGTTACACTGACCGTCCTCTCAAATGACACACAGCAATCGTACCTCAACACGAACAGCATCCCCGAGTCTCATTCATAACATGGCCAGCAGACAAGATCGAGATAGAGACTCCGTGATCGGAACGGTGTTCAAGAATAGAGTCATTCAAGCTTGCTAGTTATGGATGGAGTGTTGAAAGAGACTCAATCAAGCTCAAGATGAGACGGTCACCCGTCAAAAACCAGACTGGCCAATCATATCTCGCCTGCGGGGCACTACCGCAGGAAAGCTTGAACTTTTGGCTTCTTCTCGACGCAGTCTCGATTTTATCGGAAAATAGGTACCCTGGAACGCCACTACCACCCACCATTTCATGTCGGTGCTAGACCCCGCCGATGCCCCGACCCCTCGGCCCCTCTGCAGCGCCATTCGGGGGTACTTTGTGAGGTAATTGACATCGTCCGAGCTCCCAAAAGTTGCACTTCGTGATCGAACCACCACCACGCCGAGCTGAGCTCATAGCTCCAAAAAGCTCCAATTTCACCTTCTTGCCGTGAAACGCTTCCTCTGCATACCATATACGGTTTCAATTACCTCTCACACCCAAAATGAAAGCTCTCCGCGCCATCCCGCGCACAAATGGCGCCCTCCCCGCCCTCTACGCCGCCACCACGACGACAACACCATCCTCCCGCCCCTTCTCCGTCCTCAACCGCCCGCCGCCAAACTACGAAGGCCACGTCCCCCTAAACCGCATCGAAAAGGCTTCCCTCGCCATCGGCGCCGGCATCTGGTCCCTGCTCTCCCCGTACCGCGCCGACCTCATCGCCGCCGTCGGCGAGGCCACCGCGACGCCCTACTTCATTTACCGCCTCCGCGACGCCATGCTCGCCGACCCAACCGGCCGCCGCATCCTCCGCGACCGGCCCCGCATGACCTCCACCACGCTCAACCTCGATCGCCTGCGGCAGCTGCCGGACAACAGCGTCGGCCGCGCCTACGTCGGCTGGCTCGACGCCGAGGGCGTCAGCCCGGACACCCGCACGAGCGTGCGCTTCATCGACGACCCGGAGTGCGCGTACGTCATGCAGCGCTACCGCGAGTGCCACGACTTCTACCACGCGCTGACGGGCCTGCCGGTGGTGAGGGAGGGCGAGGTCGCGCTCAAGGCGTTCGAGTTCGCGAACACGCTGATCCCCATGACGGGCTTGGCGACGATGAGCTACGTCACGCTGAAGAAGGGGGGGCGCAGGCGGTTCAGGGAGATTTACGGCCCGTGGGCGGTGAGGAACGGGTTGAGGGCCAAGGAGGTTATCAATGTCTACTGGGAGGAGCAGATGGAGCGGGACGTGGACGAGTTAAGGGCGGAGCTGGGGATTGAGAGGCCGCCTAACATGAGGGCGATACGGAAGAAGGAGCGGGAGGAGAGGAAGAAGGCCATGGAGAAGACGGCCGCGGGGCCATAGCTTTCTCTCGGGAATCGTGACGAGCCAATGTATTTGTAGTGTAGGTTAAAAATTGTAGTTTTCGCGGTGCACTGCAATAGTCGCAAACCAATCTGCGGTTGCAGCATGCTAATAACGCCATTCCATCGCCGGCACATCCATCTCGTGTGCGGCAAGTTGCATGACAGATGCCTGACTTTTGTATGACGCCCCGTCCGCATAGAGAACGGCGTGCCCGAAGAATCTTCTCACGTACCCCTCTCACAGATCCAGCAAGTCATCGTCGTCGTCGTCCCATCCCTTCCTTCGGCTGACCACAATCTTCTCCTCCTCCTTGTTCTCCGCGACGGCAGCCAACAGCTCCTTGAGCTGCGCCTCGGTGACCTTGCTGCGCAGCTGCCCCGACTGCGCGAGCATGATGAGCCTGTTCTCGACGTCCTGTGCGCGCTGCTCCTTGACGAGGCGGATGCGGCCCAGCCGGTCCGCGGCCTCGGGGTGGAGGATCTGGTTGAGGATCTGTTGTCTCGCTTCGGCTTCTTGTTGTCTATGTCATGTGTCCTTAAAGTCAGCCAATGTTTGTGCGAAAGAGAATGAAGGGGAAGCAAATGACGGAATGACGTACTGCCTCTGCTCGGCCTGCTTCTGCTGGGAACCGCCGCCGCCGCCGCCGGAACCTCCTCCAGCCCCGGCCTGCGCCTTGAGCTGCTCGAGGCGGGCCTTGCGAATCTGCGTCGCGCGCACGCGGTGTTAGCATTTGTTTTGCCCCGTCACAACAGCAGCCGCGGAATCGGGGGTGCGCTCACCTGGTCAAGCTCGGAGTCGTCCATTTTCCTGGGGAGTGATGCGTGGGTTGCGCCGGTGTTGATGTTTGGTTCAAGGAAACGCTGGGCCGCCCTGCCTGACGGCAGTTTTTTGGCGGGGTTACCTTGCTCAACTGGCGCCTTACAAATTTCACAGCCAATTTGCTTGCGGGTGGTGGATGGTTTGACCGCCAGCCGACGCAGTGACATATCACTGGCAAAAGATAACCAACACGTCTACTTCCAATGAAATCATACAAATCATGTCGCTATTAAAATGTCCAAATGCTAATGCCTGATCTACCGCCTTGAAGTCTCCTCTACATGAACATACGACTGAGTCTTTCTCCAGACGGTCTTATGCTTCGCCTTGACCATACTGACGGCCATTTTGTTCGCAGGCAGCTTCAGGCCCGCCATCTCACCCCTCTGGATGAAGAAACCGTTCAGATAGTCGATGTCCGTAAGCGCCCCCCTGCGAATCTGTAGTGCCATCCTGCTTGGTGCATCCTTCTTCCCCCAGAGTTGGCTCATGATCATCTTCTTCATGTACCCTCTCCGTAGCATATTTTGCAGCTCCGGCGACCGCTTCACCTCCGGCATAATCGCCACCACATCTGCGATCTCTTCCAAAAGCTGGTCCATCAGCAAGTTGGCGTGGCGATTTCTAGTCAGGTCCTTGTACGGCCTATCCAGAAGCACACAGATCGGCTCTGCGACAGCCGAGAACATCAGCGCCGGGATCTTGACCTTCATCCAGTTTTCGAGCTGCATCCCCTGGGCCTTGAGCAAGTCCGCCGTCGCGAACTTCTGCAGCATAGACTGCGTCCTAAGCCATGCCGTTTCCGAGAGGTATTCGTCCCTACCCTCCACGAGCGGTCGCACCCCCGTGAGTGATGTGGCGTAGTCTGGATGCATAACCCGCACCGACTTGGAATTCCTGTTATATGCGACTGGGCTGCTGAAATGCCCGAGAACGATGGAAGGCCTCTTTTCCTCATCTTTGAAATACTTGTTATTCGCGGCCTCGGCAACTCCAAGCCCGTCTGACATGTAGCAGATGGCGGTCCGGTCGTCCACGCGGTGCCGGACCTTGCCCAGCGCCTCGAGTACCTGGCCAGGTCGTCCGCCCACGATAAGATTGCTGATATGGCCGTCATCCTCGACAGATTCCGAACGCTCTGCAAACGCATGGTTGCGATCACTCCAGGGTGCTTTTTCCTTCCATTTAGAATCTCTGCTCACATTACCAGTGACGTTCACATAGCGTGTGTCCTTCGGTATATCGAGCGTCTGTACCGAGTCGTAAACACCGTGTAGCGCATGCGAAATGAATTTTGTCTTTTCGTCTGCCCCCAGAATATGTACCATCCTCGACGATGGCGGCGGCGGTGAGTCGTGCCCCATCATTACGGCAGGCACGTAGAACCTCGACAAAGAATCCGCCTTGAAGATGGCGTAGAGCTCCTTCTCATGCTGCTCTGGTTGCAGACCCAAGACTTTATTAAACTTCTCCTTCGTCGCTTCTGGCACACCCAGTGTCGAGGAACCAGGTACCGTGGCCATCATCTCGTTGGGCGCCACCTTCCCGGGGGCAATGCCATGGGTTGGTCTCCCGAGGCCTAGTTTGTTCGAGGTGTCTGTCGAGACGCATCTGGCTCCCCGGCCGGCGCAAGTGCTACCTGCTTTCCATATTGACTGTGCTTTAGGTATCCGCGCGGAGAGCCGCGGTCTCGGGAGGCTTGCCAAAGTGACTGCCACGGTGACGGGTTGGTGGGTTCGGCGCATGCGCTGCGCGATGTACGTCGGATTTATAAGGTGAAAAGTGAGCGTGGTTCTTGCGTGTGCCACCGAGATATTTCGTCGCGTATGTCGAGGAGCCCCGGAGCGCGAGGGGCGGTCAATTCGTTACTTTAAGACCGAGGGTCGTTATCGGAGTTGGAAGGCGGCGAAGACTAATGACGGGGACATTGACCTCAAAAATTTGGCGCTCAACGTGGGAGCCGTCAATTCCCGGCTCGCAGGCCCGACCCACTGGCCCTGCAGGTACCCCAGAACCTCGTTAGATGCATGATCACCCTTCCATAACCGGATTTCTGAATTTTCAACATCGATCTCATCGCGGGCTCAATCAGGGTGACATTCCACATCAACGCGTCGCTGCTCACTCTTTCTTGGTGCTTTCTTTAACTCATCAGAGGTATACCGCCATCATTCAACCTGACACGACAAAAATTCAAAGATGGCAATGAAGGATATGTCAAATGAGCTCGACAAGCTCGAGACTCACATCGACTCTCTCGAGGATGCTCTTAAGCCCCTAGTCTCCGACCTGCCTCAAATGTCCAGCGAGCTGCCCCTTCTCGACAAAGCGAAAATGTTCGCCCTTACCGCCTACGCCATCGAGTCCCTCCTCTTCTGTCAGTACGCACCTCATTTCTCCCAGGCCATCAACTAACCACCTCACAGCTTCCCTCCGCCTTCAAGGCGTCGACGCCAAGGATCACAATGTCATGACGGAACTGAAGCGGGTGCAGCAGTACTTTGGCAAGATCAAGCAGGTTGAGGAAGCACAGAACCCCGCCCAGCGGACTATGACTGTCAACACGGAAGCAGCGACGAGAATCCTCAAGGCGGATCTGGTGAGCTTCTCCATCTCACGTGCTCGGCGAACCATACTGACAATACTAGGGCGACGACAAGGTTTTGAAGAAGAAGCTGGAGGAGAAGCTGGCTGAGGAGCGTGCTAAGGCGCTTCTCAACTCCATGCAGAAGACAAAGAGACCGGCGCCAGACTCGCCGTCAGCCAGCTCCTCCGGCCCAGAGAAGAAGCAGAGGAACTCGAGGAGAAAGAGCTCCGGCAAGAAGAACAAGTCTTGAGAGCAGGTTTACGATTTTTTGGCGAAATTTGCAGCAAAGGAATTGCATTCGGGCAGACTGGATCCAGAATGTGACTCAGGGTCACGAGGGGTGCCTGCGTGGGAGACTGCTCTCCGGATCCTACGGCTAAACAGGTGGCAAGCAGGCGGCCGCAACACGGACATACGAGCTTTAGTCTCGGCTTCAGGCAGAGGGGATCAGCAGATTGCAATGGGAGAAGGAATCATTCACGCATCGGAATCAAAAGTTTATACCCTCAAATAGACACGGAATCACTTAATGAAATCACCAAAGACAGAACCGCATCTCAAAGTACCCCTTTTTAGCGATATGCCCTTCTGAAGCATACCCACCAATCACAAAAACAAAAGACCCTTCTCCACGCTCTGGACCACGACCGAATTCGCCCTCTGCTGATTGGCCACACCTCGCCACCCCCCGGCCGAAAGCCCAGAAAAAAAGCCGAGCTCCAAACCACCTTTCGCATACCCTTCCGGCGCATAACTTCTGCCGACTTCCCTCCCAATCCACGCCAAAAACTACATATCCCCAAGACATCAACAATCGTCGCCCGCCGCAAACGAACCACACAAACCACCACCACACATACATCCAAGATGCCTCGTCAACGCTCCGTCGGCCGCGCCCCCTCGCGCCCTACCGCTCCGGCCTCCAAGCCCGCTCCCACCCAAGCTCGCCCTGCCACCACCATGGCCGCTCCCCCTCAACACGCCGCTCCCCCGGCTGCTCCCCCAGCCGCCGCTGCCCCTTCTCAGGGCCCCGGTCTCTTTGGCCAGATGGCTAGCACCGCTGCGTACGTCCCGTCCCGTCCCTCGAGATCCTCCTCCTAAACCTTGAAACCGGAACCTCACCCCGCCCGAAAGCTGCAAAGACCATGACAGAATGCTAACAACCCCTTCAGCGGTGTCGCCATCGGTTCCTCCGTCGGCCACGCCATCGGCGGCCTCTTCTCCGGCGGCTCCTCCGAGGCTCCCGCCCAGGCCCAGTCCGCCTCCCCCGTCGCCGCCGGCGCCGAGTCCCAGACGACCTCCCAATGGGGCAACAACTGCGCCGGCGCCACCCAGCAGTTCACAAAGTGCATGGACGAGCAGAACGGCAACATGCAGATCTGCAACTGGTACCTCGAGCAGCTCAAGGCTTGCCAGGCTGCCGCTAGCCAATACTAAGCTTCTTTTCCTGAGGTGCTGATTCGCAGTCCGCTGCGTTGGGGCGACTTGGGTGATGCCGAGTTAACGTCGGATGTTTTTATGTACTTAATGTAACACAACGGAAATGGGAACCAAAATATCAACAAAGGAGCGTATGGGCTCAAGGCCTGCTCCATTGGGGTTGATTCATCACGGGCATTTTGCATTGGCGGAAGCATTTTCAGAATGAGGGGCTTTCTCGAAAGTATATTACATCTCCTAGGTGTACAATAGATGGAAATTCCCACTCGCCAACTCGCGTTTTTGCCTCATCCAAGCTGTTCCTCGTCGTGACCTCGCCCTTCACTCATCCTTCTTCTCGTCGGGTCGTGGCTCAAAGTTGGTCTGCAAGGATTAGCATCCGCCTCATTCCAACGGTGGAAATTTGCACTTACCGAGTTGCCGTTGTAAAACTGTTGGTCCCCCCTCCGATCATCCGCATTCTCAAACTGCGAGAACCTGCCCTTGCGCTGCTCCCGGACCGTGACCGGCTCCGCGGCCCCCTCCTCGTTCCTCCTGCCGAGACCAGAAAACACGCCAGTAATCAGTCCCCAGAGCCACTGCAGCAACGACAGAGGCATCATCAAGAACGTGACCAACACGCCTCCCAAGCCCTCGCCGTCGTACGCACTAACATGCGCCCCGACAGGCGCCAGAACCAGCGTAGACGAAGGCGAGAGCCCCAAATCCGCAAGACTCTTGCCCTCCTCCGTGTCGTCAACCTTCCGGCTAGGCAACGGCGCCAGCACAACCTTGAACCGGTAAGGCTCCTTGCTCCCATCCGTCCGGGCCTCGTCCACCCACTTCCTAACCTCAGCCATCTTCTTCCCGCTCGAGAACCGGTTGCGGATCGTCGACCCGTCCAGAAGCCTCACCTGCAGGGAAGTCATACCGCTCGAGGCAGACTTCCCCGGCGCCAGGGAGCTCGACTCAGACCTCGTCAGCGCCGCAGCGACGTCCCCCAGCTTCGGCTCGGCCTCCTTCTCCCGCAGCGCGGCCCGCTGGGCGGCCTTGGCCCGGCGCTCGGCGCGGTCGTCCTCAATCTTCTTGAGGATCCGCGCCTTTTCCTCGGCCGCCTCCTGGCGCGCCTTCTTGAGGGCCTCCTTGTGGTTGCGGGTGTCCGCCGCCTGCTTGGAGTTGTCGGCCTCCGCTCTTGCGGCGCGGGCTTCCTTGGCCTTACGCTCGTTCTCGGCACGCTCTGCCTCGAGACGGATGGCGCGCTCGGCGAGGACGGCTTGCAGGGCGCGGGCGTTTTCGCGCTCGCGGTCTGTCTGGGCGTTTGCTGCTGGGGTGGGTTGAGTGGCCTGGGTCTGGGGTTCAGTAGTCTGGGCTTGACTCTGGGTGGCGCTTTGAGGGGCAGAGAAGGGCTCCTCGTCGTACAGGTCGTCGGCTGGCTGAGCTGCCGGCGCCGGGGCGGGAGCCGTCTGAGCAGGTTGCGCTGCGGCGGGCTGGCCCTGGGCTCCACGGAAAGCAGTCGTCAGACGTCGTACAAACTCGTCTTTGGTGGTGCCTGCGACGATGTATTCCTTCAGGTCGCCGTTCTTGATGACCACCACGGTAGGCGTATTGGGGAGGGGGAAGATGGCGGCCAGGAAGCCTGCCTCCTCTGAACCCTGCTTCAGACGCAGGGCGACGGCTTCATCTTGGAGCAGAGTAGCGACCTGGTATGTGTGAGATCATGGCTGAAATGGGTTGAGATGAGAGACTTACAGAGTCCTCGGTGAGATACTCGGTCTCCCAGCGCTGGCTCTCTTCCTGCTCATCTGTGGGCATGTGAGTGAATGGTCGATGCGTCGTCGGCGTAAATGAGCTTACCTGTCACGAAGCAGAAGACGCATTTGCTCTGCTGAAGCGCAGAGGCGATGCCCTCTTGCAAGCTTCCTGTGAAGAACATGGCGATATCGAAGCTGTTGGCGCAATGCTTTGGGCGTAGAAGATTGGAGAATCTGAAGCTTGAGGTATGAACAGCTACGTGCTGCCTTAAATAGAGCTTCTGCAAACGCTTCCAGGGTCGCAATGATCCGTTGAAGCTTCGAAATTCACCACAGCTTTTCGTCTGCCAGCTTGAGTCGAAAACTTCAACAGTGAATGTGATCCCGCAGACGAGATATCAAAAACGCACATGCAATGATGACAAGGGACAAGGTGTCGTCCGTTGCGTCCTCCCTTTCCGCTTTCCGTCCGAGACAGCACCAATCCGGCAAGGCCTACACCACACACACCACCCCAAGGGAACCCCACACCCAACGCCACGCCACCGAACCTCCCGCGCTGCAGCTCCTCTCGGTGCAGCTGGAGGTAGGTACCTTACAGGGGGGGGCACATCGAGACCCCAAAAATCCAAACCATCCTGACCTCATCCAGAGCTCCGCGGAAAGCTTCACTTCTGGCCAACACAGCGGTCGTCCTCCCGCCAGCCAACAATACTCACAATGCCGCCGCCAATACCACGAGCCCTCCTCCGGGCGCCAATGCCCACGACAAACCTCTGTCTAAAGTCAATCGCCCTCCGCGCATCATCACGCCAAACACCACCACCTCCACCAGCACCCTCCTCCCGCCGCTCATTCCACACAACCCCCCGCCGCGCCGACGTCCAACCAGGCCCCGACTTCCACTCGATAGTCGACAACCCCCCCGACCTCGTCCGCACCGGCCGGCGCCACGGGCCGGGCCTCATCATCCTCGCCCTCATCCCCGTGACGGCCTTCGTCCTCGGCACATGGCAGGTCCAGCGCCTGGACTGGAAGACGAAGCTGATCGCAAAGTACGAGGACCGCCTCGTCCGCGACCCGCTGCCCCTCCCGCCGCGCATCGACCCGGATGCCGTCAGCGAGTTCGACTACCGCCGCGTCTACGCCACGGGCCGCTTCCGCCACGACAAGGAGATGCTCATCGGCCCGCGCATGTGGGAGGGCGAGCAGGGCTACATGGTCGTCACGCCGCTCGAGCGCGAGGGCGACGGCACGACGGTGCTGGTGAACCGCGGGTGGATCAGCAAGGCCATGGCGGAGCAGGGCAAGCGGCCGTACGGGCTGCCGCGGGGGGAGGTCACCGTCGAGGGCCTGCTGCGGGAGCCGTGGAAGAAGAACATGTTCACGCCCGAGAACAGGCCCGACAGGTGGGAGTTTTTCTTCCCCGATGTTCACCAGATGGCGGAGCTCACGGGCAGCCAGCCGGTATGGATTGAGGCTACTATGGGTATGTTTCGTCGTTTTGCTCTGTTCTGTTTGTACAGCATGCTGACGCTCGCGCAGAGCACGAGTTCTTCCGTATCGTCGACCTCAAGTCTAGGGGCATCCCCATCGGCAGAGCCGCAGAAGTGAACCTGCGGAACAACCACGCCCAGTACATATTTACATGGTATTCCCCCCTTTCCGTTCCTGATTCCCATAGGTATATGCTGACATTAATCATAGGTATGGCCTCGCCTTTGCGACGTCCATCATGTTGTGGATGGTCGTCAAGAAGCCTGCGTCCGACATCTCGCGCCGGGTTCGCATGAACAAGCACTGGTAGATTTAGACTCAATCAGTCTCAGCTTCCATCCTCGCCGCCGCCTTTTGTGGAGCGCCGCTTCTTCCTAGGCTCAGCGGGCGGTAATGGTTTGGGCATTCTCAACTCCTGCAACAGCTCCCGGGGCAGGTGTCTCTGTGCCAGGGAGAAGGGCGTAGTTGTCGAGTTGGTCTGGCGTTGTCTGTAAATGTAAAATATCAGCGCCACACATGTACAATCCGTAAAAGAAAAAAGTAGATACCCAAAACCGGGCCACCATGTTTCTCCTAAGGGGCAACATACCTTCGCATGAGTGTAAGCATATCACTCTCGTCAATCGTCTTCCTCTTCGCGTGCTTCGCGTACGCAGAGAGGTCGTCCCCAAGCTGCTCAAAGAACCAGTCCGACGCCCGCTGAATCTCCGCCAGCGCCTCCGGGCTGATCTTCGTCTTCGTAATACCGCTCGACTTGGCAAACGTCCCCGCTAGCCTCTTCACCACCGCAGGCGGCAGAGAGGGGTACTCCACACCATACCTGGACAGCTTCAGCCCCTTCTTCGAGAGCTGCTTCCGCCTCTGCTCGAGATGCACACTCGCCTCGCCGCCCTCCTCCTCCGTCGCATCCGCGTCCACGCCAGTCAGATCCATGCCGTCCTCCGGCGCCGGCGGTCCGTAATCCTCCGGGCTCGAGCTGCGCAGATCGTACGCCGGCCCGTAGTCCTCAAAGTCCCCGAACGCAGGCGGCGGCTGGTCGCCGGGCAGCGGGCCGATGTTAATGGACGGCTGCTCGTCCGTGATCTCGGGCAGCGGCCGCGCCGGCGAGCTCTGCCCCTCGACGGCCATCATGAACGTCGTCTGGTCCGCGTCTACGGGCACCTGGAACCCGAAGTCGCTCTCCCGCGCCGGGATCAGCGTCTCCCGTCTCGTGGCGTCCTCCTCGATCCTAGACATCATCGTCAGCACCACCGTCTTCTTCCTCTAAGAATAATCATTGCGCTCTCACCTCTCAAGACTGCGCTCCCTCTCCCTCCCATCCTCGTCAAAATCGACAAAGCCCGGATCAAACCCGCCCCCATCATCGTCATCGTCCAAATCCCCGTAGTCCCGGTACTCCCTCACATCCCCCATCGACAGCCGGCTATTCTGCTCCGTGTACGCCCGTCGCGAGAACTCGATCGTCGCATTCTCGTCATTCACATCGCTCAGCCGCGGCGGCACCAAATCCTCATCATCATCCTCGTCCACATCCAGCGGCAGCGACAGCCGCGGCCGATCAATCGGCAGCTCGTCGTCCTCATCATCATCTTCATCGTACGCAAAACTCCGGTTCCGAATCGGCAAACTGGTCGCGCGCCCCGTCGCCCCATTCTCGCTCGGCGACGAACTCGACGCGATCGCCTGCGTATCGTGTTTCGCCACCCTACTAAGACCCCTCAGCACATCAAACATGCTCTCCCTTCTCGGGCGGATGCTTTCCCTTCGTTTCTTCCCGCCGGGCGTGAGCGCCGCCGCGCGCCGCTGGTCGATCGTGCGGTACGCCGCCCGCGCATGCGGCGTGGCCGCCAGACTCCGCCGCCCCGAGGCCGAGAGGCCCGGCGTCCCGGGGACGCCGCGATACGCCGAGCTGCGCAGCGAGGAGCGCAGCGGGGCCGGGTTGGACGGCGTCTGGAGGGATGCGCGGCTGGACGGCGGGTCGAGGCTGAAGGCGCGGCCCCGGGCGGTCGGGGTGCGTGCTGCGGCGTTAAGGCGGCCTGTGTGCGTGTCCATGATCGCGGAGGAGAAGAGGGGGTCGTCGTCGTCTGAGAGGAAGGAGGCGCCGTCGCGGCCGGTGGTGGGTGTGTTGAACGACATTGTCGTGTGTGTGTTGCGATGGTGTGCTACACCCTCGCTTTCGTCGTCGGTCGAGCTTGGTAGGAGGCGGGCGTGTGTGAGGCTTACAGCTGAAAAGCTGATTCAATCCGTGGCATCACGGCCGCAATACAGAGTCGGGGTGCCGGTGGAGTTGTGTCGGTCGTCGGTGTGTGGATTGCGATACTGATGGTTCACTCACTTCCCCCGCGGCCAGACACAGACGCGACTGAATCGACGCGCCCAGCTTCGACGGGATGTCGTTGAACAAGCAGGGTGTGCACGGGCCATGTTTTCTCTCGGCCCCACCCACCGGCACGCCTCACCTCCATCAACATGGATCTCTTCCGGCCGGGCTTCAGTTGTCCGGCTCACCGAGAACTCTATCCATTACTAAGGGTTGACTGAAGTTCGTGCAGCAGAAAATCAATCGGGGGCAAGGGTTGTGCTTCTAGAATAACATGCAGCTTGGTGTTTTCGTTTCTGGCGGTACAGCTTCTGGAACCCGAAAACGAGGGGGCGATTCTTGAGTCGTTGGGGTGTTGACGACTGAGCTAAGCTGGGCAGATGATTCCGAGGACGACATGTGCTTCATTGAGGAGAAACATTCCGATGATATCGATTCGGCATCGTGTCGTCGCACCTCCAGCCCGAGGTCGCTACAGACCTTGCGGTTTCCACCGCCGACCTGTCAAACTCTAGTGGGATAGGTCTCAACTAAGCTTAAGACTAATTACCTCGCAGCCTTCATCATACCACACCACACCACCTCGCCTTTCACTCCCAACATCTCGTTCTCGTTCTCGAGAAAAGCAGCATTGCGAACACATTCAGTGCGCCAAACTCCAAAAAAAGAACACTCAGCCCTGCTAGGAAGATCTTTTCAGTCAAGATTAAACTCCCGAAACCTTGGTGCAAATCGCCCCCAACTTCCATGCCATCCAACACGGGTCGGTCCTCAATCCCATCAGCGTAGAACACCATAAGTGCTTACTCCAAGCATCCTCGCTTACAAAATCAAGATATGGTCTTCAACCTCGGACTTAGCAGTAAAGCCGTCTGTTCTCACGCAGTTCAATCCGGACTTTGGCATGTTGCTTCAACAGTGTAGGAGCCCGTAAATTTTCGGCTGCAGGTCGGGGTCTCACTAGCCAATGAAGCCAGTGTCTTACAAATACGACGACATCTCCAGGGAAATCCAGCTGGAGTGAAATGGACTTCTGAGTGAAGATGAGGAATCAAGTAGACTGATATCATAACGTTGTCTTCGTGTATGTCGTATTTACGTTATATCCGCTCTTGGGCCAATGCAGTGAATGACAGATGCCCAGATCTCATATCTTACTTACTTTTCTTGTAACCCGAAGAAGTATCTGAATATTAGTTGAGGGGGCGTTTCTTGACCATATGGACGCATACAGCAGCCAGAAACTTACCAAACCTACGTATTGAGCAATCTTGTTCTACGCCCTCTTTCTACCGATGTCAGGCGATCTCGTACTCTTGACCGGTGCAACCGGCTTTGTGGGCTTCAGAACACTTCTGTCAGCTTTGAGAGCTGGCTATCGCGTTCGATGCGCCGTTCGGTCCCAATCAGGCATCGACAAGATTCTGACAGCGCCTAGTCTGCGTGACCTCGGACCGTCAGACTCACAGCTACAGTGGGCTGTCGTCCCGGACTTCACCACAGTGGGCACCTTCGATAAGGCAGTCAAGGGCGCCAAATACATCATCCATTGTGCGTCTCCGGTGGTCAAGTTCCAACCTGACGGCGGCCTGGGAAGAGAACACGAGATCTACGTCGAACCTGCCGTGCAAGGCGTCCTGGGCATGCTTCAGAGCGCATTGTCGCATGCCAACGACACAGTAAAGCGGATCGTTGTGACAAGCTCCATTGTGGCCATCATGCCAAGGTCCTGCTTTCGGGGCGAGGGTTTGGATCGACCAGCTTTCACCGGACAATCCCGACTTCCATGGCCCATTCCTCCGTACGAGGACCCGTACAGCGCCAGCAAGACTGCTGTCCTCGAAGCCTCTGAGAATTGGATGAAGGAGCATCGTCCGCCATTTGACCTCATATCGATTATGCCCGGCTGGGTCTTGGGCCACGAGGAACTTGCCACATCGACAGAAGCTATCCTGTCAGGCTCCAACAATGCCTTGCTTTACTGCTTAGTAGGCGGCGAGCGCGACTACCCCATTAACACGGGTTACATCTCGGTTGGTGATCTAGCGGACGCGCACGTCATTGCGTTGTCCCCGTCTGTTTCGGGCGGCCAGTCTGTCATCCTCTCTCAACATCTCGATTTCGAAGAGGCAAGGGAAATCGCGAAGAAGGCATTCCCCGATGCGTTTGAAAAGGGCATTCTTAGCGAGAGCGGCGTGCAGCCAACCGTGAGCATTCCGACGGATGCCTCCGACGGCGAGAAGCTACTTGGACGCAGGTTTGCAACTGCTGAGGAGGTAGTAACGGAAGTTGCGGCGCAGTATGTGAAGCTCGCCGAGCAAAGAAGCTGAGAAAAAGCAAAGCAAGACAGCTCGTCTAGCTCGCAGAGTGTAATGCAACCACCTTGCATCCATAGAAGGCCACTAGAACCCGTTTGGAAGAAATGCCAGTCGTTTTCCGAATCTCAAACCGGATGCCCACCGCCAGGTTGCATTGGCGAATGCAGCATTGCGAAGCTCATATCGATAATCGTTGCAGATGACGAACTGACTGCAAGGCCGACGATGCTGTGCATTTCGCATGCAAGCCACGGCGATGTGATGACGTCCGTGGTGCTGTAGTGCGTAATCAGGCGCATGAGGAAACAGGTGCGGTTACATGTGAGAAAGTGATCTGTGCGGCACGCAACAAGTTGGGTCGGTTCGAAGACGAGGTACGGATGAGACCTCTGAATGTTTCGAGGAAACACATGCCCTGGTTCTTGACGTTCCATGACAGCCCCGAGCAGGCCCCAAGGGCGGTGCTCTCGAAAGCCGGGGAAACGTCGTGATGGCCGGGAATGTAGCCGCCAAGCAAACGGATGATCTGACGATTGTTTCTTTCAACTTGACAGGAGTTGCTGGGCAAGGAAGACATAGGACGGGTTGGCGGGATCAGAGAAAGTCAGCAACAAGGTGTGCTTGATGGCAGCCGGATGGACTCCGAAGGCGGCTGGTGTGGACGGCCGGAACAGCGGCGGACAGGGCCCCCACAGCGAATGACTGGAGTGGACGGCGAAGAGGTGGCGCGAAGGGGGATTGCGACTAGGATGATGGATGGAGCCGACTCAATATCCGTGCCTGGCGGACGAACGACGAGGCATGGCCGGTCGGGCATGTGGGCTGGTCGGCGGTTGGAATCAATAGAGCCATGGACCGTTGCAATTCCCAGCAAATCAGACCAGCGGTCCTTCCGCCTTGGGCTCGTCAATCTCACTGCTGCGGAGCCTCGTCTTTCGCGTGCAAAGGTGAAATATGAAGATGGGCGGATGTGTAAGTGGCTGTGGTAAGGTACGGTGTGGCCAGTGACTGGGCACCCCTTGAAAGCAGGCATGGTGGACACGGGCTGGAAGGCGGAAAGAAGGAGCTTCAAAACGTTCCTCGGGTGTTCCATCAGAGACTGCAGATTGTAACAAGAGATGCGTCAAGTGGCGCTTGAACTCACTCAAAGAGAGTCTGGGGCGGGCGGCGAGGGGGACGGACCTCTTGTTGTTGGTCTGGGTTTTTTTTGTTCGTCGTCTCCTCCTCACCCTCTTGGTAGAAGCCCCCCAAACCAGCAGCAAAGAAGGGATGGAGACAGAACACAATTTTTTTTCGTCGGCCGTCCTAATGGTGGTAGTAATGGTGGTGTTGATGGCCATGGACCGTGGTGGACTGGAGACAGCGATGGAGACGGACAAGAAACAAAGGAGGCTTGGGAGAGGAGCAGAGAGGAGGAGAGCAGAGGCGACGAGTCGTCGAAACATTGAAGCGACGTCGAGCCGGAGGCAGCACATGGCATGTGCTAACATGTTTCTGGTGCGGTTGGCGCGACTGGCAGTTACCACGACCAACCCCTCGCAAGTCTCGCAAAGTCTCCCAGTTGGATGGACGGGCCGGAGCCATGCCCCTTTGGGCCACAGACCCGCTTATCTGGTGCTGGCCTCCCTGCCGTGGATGTCCAGCAAGAGCACTGTGAAGGGAAAGAACCCCCCTCCCCACGCCTCCCAGAAACGGTGGTCCGCCCCGATTCAAGTGAGAAACCGGCCATTGGCAGACAAACAGGAGGAGTGAAGATTGATCGATGGGGGGCCTTCAGGGATCAAGTATCGAGGCTCTCATTCACCAGTGCGCATGGAACACACATCCGATCTCGTGGCCGACGAGTGACGGCGACCACCAGTCCAGTTAGTGGCAGCTCGCAGTCAGAATGCTGGATGTTGCAACCAGCACTTGCCTCCTGCTGCTTGGTGTTGCCTTACACCACCTCGCTGCCGCCGTACGTGGACTGCCACCCATTCAGGTCGTTGCGTTCCTGGATCGCGTCTGTCAGTGTCACTGTCGGCTTGCATCATCGCACACGGCCTGTAAATCTCATGACAGCTGGTTGGCGCGAAACACATTGCGAGAGGCTAACCTTGAACACACTTTGGTCTGATGAACAGCAGAGTTCTCTTGGGCGGCCATCATCGGACAGCTTTCGAGAAGTGGAAGCCGTCGTGGTAGACTGCCGTAGGCCACACAGACGCCCGGCACCAATTTCAACGTCAATATTGTTCCATGGTTCGTTGCTGAGTATGCCCGAATCGCGCGCCGTCAGACTTGATATCGTCATTTGTCCATTCCAAGATGGCTGTTGTTGAACTGTAGCCAATCAAAGCGACGAGATCTTGATCGAGTCTCAACTGCAAGTGCAGTCAGACCCAGAACGGGCGGCAGTGGCAGCGGCAGCAGCGGGGTCCAGTGGTTTGTAGAATACTTTTCTCAGTGAGGAGCCTGAGACTGCCAGCCAGTGAACCAGCAAGAATGCAGCTTCATGC